CAGAGGGAGTACTTCCAGGTGCTGGTGCGGATCGACGAAGGGGCCGACAACACACCGCCCAAGCCCAGCTTCCTGGCGCTGCTTATGATGGAGGTGCACCAGTTTGTGCTCACAGCCCTCACCCTGGACATGCTGGCTGCTGAGGACCTGGAGACACCCCCGGACCTCCTGATCTTCAATCTCACCTCTGCCTGGCCTGGTGACCCACGGCGGCAAGGCTTCCTGCTCAGCACCGATGACCCCAGCCGGCCCCTAGTTGCCTTCTCACAGCAGGAGGTGAGGGAGCTGAAGATTGCCTACCAGCCCCCAACCCTGGACTCAAATGAGGAGCGGCTTTTCCAAGTGGAAATGGAAGTCCTGGACACCGATGGCGCCTCCTCAGAGCCTTTTGCTTTTGTGATCCTGGTAAAGCCCATGAACACGCTGGCCCCTGTGGCCACTTTCAGTCGTGTGGCAGGCCCACAGCTGATACTCTTTGAGGGACAGTCACGACCCCTGTCTGGCAACTTGGAGATCAGTGACGAGGACAATCTGAAAGAGGTGAAGGTCTGGGTCACACGGGGCCTGCGATACGGGAAGCTGAAGGTACTGGGTGTACTACCCAGCCGCAAGTACTTCACTGCTGCAGAGCTCGCAGCAGGGCAGGTGCTTTACCAGCACGACGGCAGTGAGTACAGCTACAGTGACAACATTGTTTTCCGCATGGTAGATGGGCAGCACCAGGTTGAATTTCTGTACCCCATCACCATTGCTCCTGATGATGATCAGCCACCGCTGCTGAATGCAAATACAGGGCTGGTGCTCAGTGAGCACCAGACTGTCCAAATCTCACCTTTTGTCCTCAGTGCCACAGACATTGACTCTGATGATGCCTCTATCCGATTTGTCCTGGTTGAGGACTCCACAGTATCCCTGCTACACTCCCACCACTTTGGTGAGCTGCTGCTGCGTCAGGCAGAGCAACCAGCATCTTATGAGAGCAAAGAAAGCAGAGCAGGATTGGAGAGTGGCTTCTCTTCCTCCTCCTGGCACTTTGTGGAGGATGAACACCTGTATGAGAGGGTGGTGAAGGAGTGGCTGCAGCAGGACATCCTCGATGGGAGGCTTTTCTTCAGGCACACGGGGGGCCACAGTGCCAGGCCAGTGATGGGGCACATTGTGTTCCAGCTGCAGGATGACAATGACCCCCCTAACTGGTCAGGGGAGCATGTGCTCACTGTCAAAGTCCAACCGGTGGACAATCTGCCACCTGCCCTGTACCCAGGTACTAGCCTACAGATGACAGTGCAGGAATACCAGCTGACTGTCTTTAAGAAGCACTATTTACGGTACACTGACCTGGATACGGATGACAGGGAGCTGAAGTACACTTTACTGACACCCCCAACTGACACAGATGAGAACCACTTGGTGGTCACTGGAGAGATTGTGTTGGCCGACAGTCCCGAGACATCCGTTACACATTTCACCCAAGCCGAGGTCAACCATCACAAGGTGGCATATCGACCCCCGGATCAGGAGCTGGGGATCACACCACGGGTGGTTCAGTTCACGTTCCTTGTAGAAGACTCAGCTGGCAATTCTCTACAAGGTACCTTTACACTGTTCCTGCAGCCAGTGGACAACCAGCCACCTCAGATCACCAATACAGGCTTCACAGTGCTTGAGGGAAACAGCTTCCTTCTCACCAGCAATCAACTCGATGCCACAGATGAGGACACAGCTGCGGACCAGATTGTCTTCACTGTAACTCAAGTTCCAGAGCATGGCCATCTACATTATCTAGAGGAGAGTCTGATGGTGCAAGGGGAATCTTTCCTGCTAGATGATATTGCTGGTGGGCGCATCTCCTACAAGCACAGTGGTGATGAGTTTGCCAGTGATTCTTATCAGTTGGAAGTGAGTGATGGAGTCCATCATGTTCCAATCACAGTCAGGATTGGTGTGCAGCCTACGGATGATGAAGACCCAAGTATCACCCTCCATGGTGGTCACAGGCAGGTGGCAGCTGCCATTGATGTCCTGGAAAATGGTGCTACTGAAATTACTATGTCACTTATCCAGGGTGCAGATGAAGATACAGATGACTTGGTGCTGATCTTCATTGTGCAGGATCCACCCAAGCTAGGTGATATCCTCGTGGATGGAGTGCGATCAGAAAAGTTTACGCAGCATGACCTCATCAGCGGAGCAGTAGCCTATGCTCACACCAGCGGAGAGATTGGCTTGAAAAAGAGGTATGATTCCTTCAATCTTACCATTTCTGACCTCTCCAGAGAATGGGTGGTGGGAGGCAGCACAGTACAAAGGGTGCGTGTGGCTGTAACTGTATTGCCTGTGGACAGCATTGCACCTGAAGTGATGGTTGCGGCAGAGCCTCTTGGTGTCCTCGAGGGAGGGAAGGGTACTCTAACTCTGGATCAGCTGGATGTGGAGGATGTAGATACTCCCAGAGATGACATCTTGTGCATTGTCATAGTTCAGTCCACTTCAGGATATTTGGAGAATATCTCTCCAGCCCCAGGGTCTGAGAAGTCTCGAGCTGGTACTGCCATTAGTGCTTTTTCCATCAAAGATGTTCGTTTGGGCCATGTCAACTATGTGCAGAGCATTCACAAAGGGGTGGAGCCTGTGGAGGATAGATTCACTTTCCAGTGCTCTGATGGTGTTAACTTGTCACCTCACCAGTTCTTCCACATTGTCATCATTCCCATCAATGATGAAAAGCCGGAGCTGTTTGTGCATGAATTCATGGTGCTTGAGGGGATGAGCCTGGTGATTGACACCACCATCCTCAATGGAACTGATGCAGACATGCCTCCAGATGAACTGCGTTTTGTTATTGCTGTTCCTCCTAAGCATGGGCAGATTGTGCAGCAGCTGTCCACAGGCACTATGCCTGTTCACAGCTTCACCCTGGAGGAGATTCAGGAGGCTTCCAGCATTGTGTATGAACATGATGACTCAGAGACGAAAGAAGACAACTTCCAAATTCAGCTGACTGATGGACGCCACACAGTGGAGAAGAATGTGCCAATTATGGTGATCCTGGTAAATGATGAGACCCCCAGGATGGCAATCAATAATGGTCTGGAAGTAGAGATTGGCAAGTCAAAGCTCATCTCTAGTCAAGACCTTAAAGCCACAGACATCGATTCAGAAGACAAGAGCCTTGTTTATGTCATCCGTTTGGTGCCTGTGCAGGGTTTCTTACAGCATCTGAACAGACAAGAAGTGCTGCGCAACATTACACAAGGCACAAACTTCACACAGGATGATTTAGACCAGGGTTTCATCCGCTATATTCATACTGGCCTACATGGAGTGCGTGATCTGATTAAATTTGATGTTACTGATGGTATTAATGCCTTGATAGACAGGTACTTCTATATTACCATTGGTAGCATTGATATGGTCTTCCCTGAGGTGATCAACAAGGGTGTAACTCTGAAAGAAGGTGGAAAGGTGACACTCACAACAGATCTGCTCAGCACAAGTGATGTTAACAGTCCTGATGAAAATCTGCGTTTCAGTGTCACCCGGTCCCCAACCCGGGGTCATCTAGAGAATTCAGACAGTCCTGGAGTACCTGTTGTTTCCTTTACTCAACTCCAACTTGCTGGCAACAAGATTTGCTACATTCACACTGCAGAGGATGAAGTGAAGATGGACAGTTTTGAGTTTGAAGTGACAGATGGGTATAACCCAGTCTTTCGTAGTTTCAGGGTCTCCATCATAGATGTGGACAATAAAAAGCCAATTCTAACTATTGGTGACCTGGTTGTTGAGGAAGGGGAGACCAAGCTGATCACCCCTTTTGAGCTGGCCGTGGAAGATGGGGACACACCTGACCATTTACTCCTATTCACAGTCACTCAGGTTCCAGTGCATGGCCGGATTTTGTACAACAACAGCTACCCAGTCACCAGCTTCACCAAACAAGACTTGAATGAGAATCTTATCAGCTACAGACACGATGGTACGGAAACCAGCCAGGATAGTTTCTCTTTTTCTGTGACCGATGGGACCCACACAAACTTTTATGTTTTCCCCGACACTAGCAAGGAGATCCATCAACCCCAGATGATGAGGATTCAGATCAGTTCACTGGATGACAGGGTGCCACAGTTAGTGGTGAACAAGGGTGCCCCTACTCTGAGAAGACTTCCAGCTGGGCACCTAGGCTTCCTGATCACTAGTAAGGCACTAAAGGCAGAGGATCGTGACAGTCCACACAAGTTGTTGAAATACAAAATAACAGATGGGCCAGAGCATGGCTTCATCATTAATACTGGCCTTGGAAATGAGAGCATTAGAACATTTATGCAAGGTTAGTGCTGATGGTCATACTTCCTTATAAACATTGGGCTCAATGAATTGTTATTTTGTGTTATATTATTTGAATCTTTATTTTAGGGGATTTAGAAATTAATGTCTTTTAAACTATGAATTATTTGCAAATGACCAGAATTATAATACATAATTTTAGAATGGAAGCTTTGTTTCATCTAGAAAAGTTCTGTGTTGTATGTGCATGTATTAATGTGTTTCCTACTGTGTGTTAAATGTACATCTTACTGTGTACATAGCATGGTACTACTCATAAGAAGATGGGATAAAATCTGAAATCGTGATTGGCAGATCCTGCACCAGTTTCTTCTTGAAGACCGAAGTACGTGTTTGCCTGCCTGGAAATTAAACCCAAGCTCAAAAATTGCTATTGTCTTCAGGGAAAATTGTTTGGAATGGTGCTTAACATTTTTGCACATCACTGGATCTAGTGATTTAAAAAAAATCTGGATTTAAAAAGGCCAGGGGACATCCAGTATAGCCTGAGTAGTTTGGGTGACATTGCATGTGATTCTATTCCACAGGGAAAGCTCAGCAGACAGAGAGGCCTCCATTAGGTCAGCTCCAGCAAACCTGGGTAGAGGGAAGAGCCTTAGAGGATGGTGGGGCACAGTGCCAGCTGCCAGACTCTCTATAAAGTTAAAAGTTATAAGTTAAAAGCTTTCACAAGGCTTCGAGCCTAGACTTTGCTACCTGCAGTGTGTTTTGACTATCAGAAGGGGGACAAAATTTACCAAAATTCTCATTAGACACTAAAATAGGATTAGAGGTCTCCATTGTTTTTATATGCTCAGGTATGTTACCTTTCTTTTGTAAGAGAAAACAGTCTGGGGAGAAAAAAATCTTTATCTCCGTTTTATGTATTTACCTATAACTTCCAGACAGATTGTAGCTTTAAGATTATGATAACACAATTTATTTTTAAAAGACTACAGTTCATCTGCCAAGATACAGTGTTGTGAAAAATCATTTGCCATTCATTCAAAGAAGTTTCCTGCATTTTCAATTGACAGAAAGTACCCAACTCTGCCATTCTGGAATAAGAGCAAATGGTAACCCCAGGGGAGTAAGTCTCTTAGTAGATCAGAATTAGCTCTAGAAAAGCTTAATGCTGAATGGATTATAAAGAACATTTAGGTATACCCCAAACAATTTTATATAAAACGAAATTGGTTTTTATTTAACTAAAATAAAAGCAAAAATAGAATACTTCTCTGAAGTCTTCATATTGATGAAATGTGGCACAGGATAATATACCTGCAATTTTAGGGTAATAGAAATATCCTGACGGTTTTCCCCTCTTCTCTGGGAGTATCAAATCAAAATTTTATTAATTTTTATGCCTATTTGTGATTTGTTCAATACATTCTCATATTCACTCCCAACGTACCTGCAACAGTTTTGTGTGTCATAGAAGATCTTTAAAAACTGATTAAAGATAAATAAGTCTTTAAAAAATGGGCAGATCTTTACTCCCAAAAGGTTCAATTTAGTTATAGCAAAGTAATTCTTCCTGGCGTGCTGAACCAAGGATGTGACTGTAGTATTTAAAAATAAATATTTACATTTATATTTAAAATAAATATAAATAAAACTATGTCTCACTCCTCACTCTCTTTTTGCCATTGTTCTTTGAGATAATAACTAAATTTATGTCATGTTGCTAAGTATAGACCAGTGTAAGAAGCCGCGTTATATGAGTTTGGTCGCTGATATGCTTTATCCACAAATCAGCCAACTTCTTAGTAAATAATCCAATACTAAAGGTAGAATGAAACTATGTCCTATATTCTGTAGTAAAATTCTATGATGATTCATTTGGCATATTCTTTTCTTAGCTGATATTGATGAAATGAAGATCAGCTACATCCTGGAGGAAGGTAATAATGCTACCAGTGACATCTTCTATTTCTCCATTGAAGACAAAGGTAAGATTAAGCTGCTTAATTATACTTTTCTTAGAATTACACCATCTGAAAGATTGTTCACATTAAGTAAACAAGTCATCTATTATTTCTTTATGAGTAATATGTGAAAGTGCCATGAACACATAGGAACACAAATCAGGATATTTTATTCATTTTAATGTATAATGTCGTAATTAATGCAAACTGCTATGGCAAGCTGTGAACTCATAGTGGGATATCCTGTTGTCACAATACTGTTTGTTCGGTGGCCTTTATGGGGGACTGTTGGCAGTGACAGTCAATTGCTCCTGGTCAGCTGTGCATGTTATAAAATTTCAGCTGTGCAAGATGGAGCACTGCTGGTTTTGGAATTTTGATTCACTAGCCAACGACTGCATCAAAAGAGACAATTAATGCTAAACTTTTCAAATGAGGAGAGTTCAGTTAGTCTAGATCAGGGCTTGAAAGCCTGGTGAAATGGTAAAATAGACTGGTTAAGTCCATTTTGCTCTTATTTATACAGAAGCACATCGTTGTTTTGCATAATTGTTATTGTTTCAAAGGCTTCAGTGGACCAGTGATTATTTACATCAACTGATATGCGCATGTTGCATTTTTTTCCATATTCCTTTCATGACTCTTATTTTAAAATCTGTTTTGTTCTGTTTGGGTATTGTTTTTTTCTTGTAGGCTGCAATATTTTTCCTCAACCGTCCACATGAATTATGTTTACTGAGAATTCATCAAAATTTTACACAAGTTCCTCTTAATTAAAGGCAGACAGGAAGATTCATAAAATAATTTTGCAATTTAGTTAAATAACTTCAGTGTAAGGATCTGCCTTCACGAGAATCTCTGTAAACTTCCTGACTAGTTTGGTGTAATCCTGAGTGCATAGAACATGTCAGAATAGCATTCTAACAGCATTTGACAGAAAGTTAAATTTTTATTTCCTAATGAGCCCCAAAACAAGTCTGAAACAGCATTAAAATATTTTATACAAAATTGGGAGTCCAAATAGAAAGAAGTCCGTGTTGATAGTTACGAGGATGGTCACTGAAAAGTAATTGCTGCTTTGAGTTTGCTGAGGCTTCCTATTCTAATTACAGCAAACCAGAAAATGTATACCTTGATCTCTTGAAAAGCAGTTATTGCATTCTATCTGTAATCAGTCTGTTTCTGTTCTTGTAGCAGTACAATCATTGTAGGTTTTTGTCTATTATTTGCTATAAACCAATCCAGCCACAGGTAAATACGTGCCTGAGGAATAAGCGTTCTGTTATGGACTTCCAGTGTTTTCTTTATCCCATCTGTAGGGCAACACTTACTGGTTTTGGGCAGTGCACTGAGTGTAGCAGTTAGCAGAATAATGAAAAATGACTTGTTTACTTTCAGTTGTCCAAGAAGTAATGGAAATTTTGGAACCTGTCATTTGGTGTTGTCACTTTGCTCACATATGAAAGATTATGTAGCTTAAGGGACATTAAAAACACTTTCAATTATCAGATCAACCACACCTCTGGTTCATTGTGATCCTGTCAGGGACAGGTTTCTTGTGTTTACAAATGAAGATGCAATAGTAGGCAGCTGGGAATGTGCACAGGATTCATAGCTTGAAGTCAATTATTTCCTTTCTAGTTAAGGTTTGGGTAAGCAAATAATTCCATTCACCGGGCTTCAGGAAACTGGAAGACCTGTTGCATAAGCAAAGAATGCACCAATCCATTCCCCATGGCTGGCACCTTGTATCCTTGGCAACTTTACAGCTGGAAAGATCTTCTCTTTTAGGAGCCAGTAGAGTAATTGGGAGACAAAGCTATGACAGGCTGAAAATGGCTTTTGGTTTGAGCATCCTCTAGTTACGCTGAAAGAAAAAGGTTGAACGTTGGCCAGCTGAAGAGGATTGAAAAACCAAGCTAGATTTCACAAGCCAATTATTTTCTAGCTCTTTTTGAAGTCATGTGCAACCAATGCAATTTAAAACAAATGGGGCTGTTAATTCAAGAAAGGTTGGAGATGTATTCTTTGTCTGGTTTGGCTTACATTTCACTTAGCACGTAGGAGAAGGTGCTGTGAACTGCTACATGCGTTTATTACAGACATCTTATTTTGCTGTCACTTGATCAATATACAGGTCTTTGTGGCATGACTAAGCAGGGTAATACAGTAATGATGAGAAACAACGGGGAAAAAGGATTGACATGACTGAGCAGATGGTAATTCTTATTCCTTATACACCCAGGGACACAAAGGGAGTCAGTTACTAGATGTTTTCATTAACAGCACTTTCAGTCTCTCCTAAATGGAGTGATTCTTTCAGCTAGATTGCTTCATCTGTCTGTTCCAGATATCAACAGAGTAAGAAAAGCTGTGGCCATAAATGTGTGCAGCTATGCTTATAATGAAAGTACGTACTGACTGAAGGGTTGTTGCGTACTGATGTGACTGGCACAGCCACAGGAAGAGTACGTGGCTACAGGAAGGTGTGCTGAGCGAGTAACATCTGGAAATTCACTTAAAACTTGTTTGGTGTGGGAAAGAAGGTTGAAAAGTCCATGCTATAGCACAAGGAAATGCTCTTGAAAGAAATTCTGCCTGGATTAGTCTTTTGATGGCTTTGCTGCATAGAAATACATTAAACATATTCCCTCAGGGGCCTTTACCTTCCAAGGGAGTGTCTGAAAGAAGGCACAGCTGTAACAGCTGTTGTACAACTCAGGAAAAAGTACCTAAAGGCCCAGCAGGAGGAGAGAAGGTACACTGCTTTGGTACAGTTCACAACTGCTTCAGCAACACTCAGGAAAGAGCCTGCTATTTTCTATGGTTTTATGTTCCAGCTTCTGAAGACCCTCTTAACAGCATTTCGTTTTGCATCAGTACAAAGGAGACTCCAAGCAATGCAGTGTGTGTGTGCATATCGAATGTGAGGAGAAAATGCACAATTTTTCTATCTCATCACTTCCCTTGCACGAACACCATCAGGTTCTTCCAGGCAGACGTTTCACTCTTTAATGGGAGAGTATACCTTTTGGATAATAGCATTTTGTCTAACCTGAGGGTAGGAAAGATTCCTTTAGGTTCTTTATCTGGGTAACTACTTGTTCTGTTATTTAAGTGAGCTGCTGGGAAACCTTTCTGAGTGACATGAGTGAGAAAAAATGGCTTGCAGCCTTCAGAGAAGTCAGTCCCTCTAAGCTGAGGAAATTGTTCCCATTCCTGCCATTAAACTGGAGATCTGGGTTTGTTGGTACAAATTGAATAAAAACTAGGTAAGATTTGGACAGGTTTAATGATTTATTCCTGGGGTAAGTGTACAAACAGTGTAATGTTAAGTTTGTTCAAAGATTTGTAATGGAGCAGTGACTTGCAGTAAACCTACAGTGGTTATTTTTGACTTTACCATATTTGATTTTGGAAGCTTTTGTTACTTTCCTGGGTGATTTTTGTGCAAAGCTCAGCTTAGTTAGACTTGGTTATGCCACTGCTTCTCCAGCTGGTTTATGTTCAATGATATTTCGTATGAGTAACTCTTTTATTTACCTGTAGAGTTCACCTTTTTTATTTTGTAGTTTTTTTAGTACACTTAATCTTTTGACACTGCTGTCATTGCTGCCCTCTAGACCTTGCTTTCAGTTACTGCTGCCAAAAGAGTAAGGAGAGCTTGCTGACGCAGAAAGCTACAATGTTTTGCTGATGTGAACTTTGTGGGACTAGTTCAGGCTTCTTTCAAACCTTGTGTGGAATGTGATTCTAAAACTTGGAAATCCCTTTGGGTAAAGAAATCCTATCAAAATGCACTAAAAAGTATTTGCAATCCATAAAATATTAAAGAAAATATTGTATTATGTACTTCTAGCTGCTAAAAAAAAAAAGCTCTGTAGAATGAAAAATTTAGAATATCATCTAAAGTGTGAATTTGTTCTGTGCATTTCGCTTCATGTGGTTCCAGGTCCGCAGGGTGAAAATCTGACCCTGTGAAAGTTAGCAGGAGCTTTGCTGTTAATTCTAGTCGGCCTGGGATTTCACTTAGAGGCCTTCTCACCTGTATTTGTTTGGTGCTACTGAAAATAAGTTGCAGGGAGGGGGGGAGGGCGGGAGCATGGCTGGGTGAAAACCCTAAGGAAAACCTAGCAGTCTTCTGGTAGGATATGATTTTTCCACCTTTTTTCTTAGCTTTTTCTTTACAAAGATTTAGGTTGTTCAGCTAGGGAGTTGATCCAGGGGCTGATATAAGGAGCCTCCACCTATTATCTTTAAGCTTGTTAATGTGTTCCTAGACAAGGATTATGGCTTCTTAATTCTGAATAACCTCTCAGGGTTTTGACTGAAGCTGGCACCTAAGAAGGTACGAAAATACTGGCCTTTGTAATTCTGTGAGCTACACGGTTCTTGCAGATTCTGATAAAATATTACAGTAAGTCATATGCTTGCTTATAAACTCTAGAAACATTACGGTATTGGGTCACTTAAGAATAGGTATTCTTGTTAATGCACAATGTCCAAATGAAAAATTAATCTCTTGGCAGAATTAAATGGTGTATTGTTGTTTCCTTTGTAACACAAACTAAAAGATGTCCATTCCAGCACCTGGTTAGCAATCCTTGGTTTGAATTTGATCACCTAAACTGGCACAATGTAGTTACTGGTCAACACTTAATATCTGGTGAGGTTTGTGCATGATAATGACTGTATTTATCTAACACAACTGTCTACTCTTACATGTAGGTAATATTTCCTCTAATTTTAGTAATGATTTTACATATCAGCTTTGTGTTACCATATACAAGTCAGTGTACTATCCTCTTGCTAAATCTCCTTTTTAGTAGGCAGGTTTTGTGCATCTATCTCCTCGCATCCACAAATCTGAAAATAGTTTTCAGACCTTGCAAAAGATGTTGCAGTGGTATAATTTCACCACTTTAGGGCACAAGGGCGCATCATTTAAAAGGCAAAGGATTTCCAACTGATGAGCCATTTTCAAGCAGCCTTAAAACAAACCCAAAGCTACGCTTCTCCCAAGT